TCACAAAGTTACCCCGGTAGGTTACTCTTTTTTGTTTATTGTTAAAAAAAATGTGTCAAATTAATAAATCGTAAGCGTATTCACGTAGATATCCCGACAAGTACCTACCCAAGCAATTAGGAATTCTGACAAATTTTTCTGGGGAGTGTTCAAATTCTGATGTACAGTAGAAAGTTTGGGCGTTTCGAAAAAGTTGCAAAAACGAGATGCTCCCTTCGAATCAGGCTGCAAGTTACCAAGAGAGCGCGTACCAGCTTGCCGAACGGTTTTTGTAGCGAGTGAGGTATGTGCTTCCACCAGCTCGTAGAAAAATTTGGCTTCGCGCGCGGAATTTAAAATGTTTGGCTAATTTGAATCGAATTTCACAATGTCACAAAGTTTCTCCCTTGTCACAAAGTTTCTCCCTTGTCACAAAGTATCCCCGTTTTACGGTATGTAACTTTTCATAATTTTTATAGTTGAACAAAAAATAGTGTGTATACCATGACCGCGAAACTTTTTAGGGTCCTCGAGATTATCTTGCATCGGCCGCAAATCCCATCCACTCCGGGAGCCGAATCTAGTTTTTTGTGTAATACAAACTCTAATTTATCTAAAGTCACCCTTTTTTCCTCATTCTACCTGGTTTGTTCCATCCTGAATCCAGGATCTATGTTTACCAGAAGGAGATTACCTATCAATAATTTCCTCTGCTAGTATACTCTTGGCAGCCCTTCCTTGATTGGTTTTGGTGTCATTCCGTTTGAAAATGTTTTTATATAACGTTTTCATAATATTTCTGAAACTGGAGTATTACGATTCAATTGATCACAGTACTTTTGGAAACTGGCCCTTCTTTTCATCCTAAATTTCAGTTTGGTTTTTGCTATGCAGCCTTTGGTGGTCAAAACACATGTATCTACATCTCCAAAAAAAGGCATTGATAAAATTAATTAATGAATCAGATTAATTAATGAAATTAGATAAGATTTAGAAATGATCAAATAGGAGAAAAAATCCATTTTCTGAAAGAGAGAGGATTTTTTATTATAAATATCAAATTCTACTTTACCGCACACTATGCGGTAAAGTGCACTTTACCGCACACTTTGTATTCTACTTTACCGTATACTATGCTGTAAAGTGCACTTTACCGCATAGTGTGCGGTAAAGTGATACTTTCCATTTGCAAATACGTGCGGAAAAGACACTTTGCGCACGTGTCAGGAACAAAATTTTTCCTACGACCTTCATATCAGGTAGGTAATAACAAAAATTAAAAAAAAAAACGATAATTTGTTTAATTATTTTTAATTAACTTTAAGGGAACCTATGCATTTATCAAAAAATTACATAACAAAAAAAAAATAACAGAAAATCCTCGTCAGAACTGTTCATCTTAAAGCATTTAAATTTGATGAGAAAGTTTGTACATTTTTGCATATAAATAGAGAACAAATCTGACAATGTGTCAAAGTTAATTTATATTTGGTGTTTGTATAGATGATGGCTGATATAGAAACAGAGGAAAAATTTGTCATCATGTGTCAAAGTCGACAGGTGCACTTATTGTTGCTTGACAATTATAATTACTTTTCGGCACTCAGTGCGGATAAGGCCTGTATCCGCACTGAGTGCGGAAAAGTGTAACTTTGAGCCCGGAAATGCGTGCGGAAAAGTACTACTTTGCGCACGCTCGCGTCGTTCGTATAACTGTGTTTGCGTGCGGAAAAGACACTTTGCGCACGTGTTAGGAACAAAATTTTTCCTACGAGCTTCATATCAGGTAGGTAACAAAAAAAATTAAAGAAAAAAACGATAATTTGTTCAATTATTTTCAATAAACTTGAAGCGAACCTATTCATTCATCAAAAAATTACATAACAAAAAAATAGAAAATTAAAATCCTCGTTAGAGCTGTTCATCTTAAAGCGTTTAAATTTGATGCGAAAGAAGTTGGTAGATTCTTGCATGTAAATGGAGCACACAAATCTGCTGACAATGTGTCAAAGTTAATTATATTCAGTGTTTGTATAGATGTTGGCTGATAGAAACCATATAGAAACAGAGGAAAAATTTGTCATCATGTGTCAAAGTCGACAGGTGCACTTATTGTTGCTTGACAATTATTTTCACTTTTCGGCACTCAGTGCGGATAAGGCCCGTATCCGCACTGAGTCCGGAGAAGTGTAACTTTGAGAACGGTAATGCGTGCGGAAAAGTACTACTTTGCGCACGCTCGTTGGAAAAATAACTTTTTTGCTTGCTTCTAAATAGTTTTATATTTTCACGACAACTGTCAGCTGACAACTAACGTTAATGGGTCTGTTCCCACAGGAGTCTCTGACAGTTTGCAAACTGTCAGTAAAAATCGCCCATACATGTTTTCAATGCTGTCGGTCCAAGATCAATCTGTAACTCAGCTGAGCGATTGTTTCTGACAGGTTGCAAACTGTCGGAGACTCCTGTGGGAACAGACCTAATGACTATTAGGTTTGTTCGGACTTAGTTCGGAATCAGTTCAGAATTGAACTGCGCATGCGTATTCGTTTATTTATGTTTGATATGATTTAATGCGCAAACGCAGATCAATTCAGAACTGATTCTGAGCTAAGTCCAAACAAACCTAATACTACAAAATCTGTCATAGCAATTTCGAAACTATATTGCAAAACTACTAAAATGCTGCAGAACTCTTCGAGCCAAGTTAGAACACTTTAGAATGTCAATAAGCCATTTAGAACATTCCAAAACACTTTCCAGCAGCATTTTGGAAGGCTTTAGAACAATTTAAAATCCTCAGAATTATTTCAGTGCCTATAGAATAGACAAAAATTGACTGTTATAAAATGAGTACCTACCTGATAATAAGGAAATATTGGCAAGAAAATTTTTCTTCTACAATTCAAATTCTTGATTTTTTATAATTTTTCTTATTTCAGGCTCTTGATTTTTTCATATTTCTTCATTCTAAATTTTAAACTTTTTTTTGGCTTTTGAATTTTTTCATTCCAAGTTCTCCAATTCTCATTATTTCTGTATTTTAGAATTTCATGCTCTTGATTTGTTTTTTTTTTTGTTTTTTTCGTTTAAATGAAATCAAGAATTTAAAAGCCTAGCGTTTGGAATAGACAAAAATTGGAAGTTATAAAATGAGTAGATATATTATTGAAATATTAGTCCTGAAGACTCTCTCGGCAGACGTCTAAAAGACGGTGGGTTTTGTAACATACGACATCTTCAAGATGTCTTTAAGACGTCTTGAGTGTCGTTTGGGTTGGAAATATGTATGATTTTTTGCTAAATTTTGCAAAGGGATCAAGATTGTGGACTATTCTACTTTAATTGGGTGTTGATTTGTTTTATTACAAAAAATCTACCCATATGAGTAGCACAAAAAACATAATTTCTTGCGTGCATAAATTATGAACATATTATCTGTTATTAGGTGTCTATGTTAGGTACTATAGGTTCCAATTTGCTGACCTATTTTAGAAATAAATTATTCAAAACTATCGATCAAATATTTACAAGGCCATAATAAGACTATCATCAAATAAGATATGCAAGTACAGATATGTATGTACATTTTATTTAATTCACCCATTATCTTTTATCACAAAAGTAGTAATTTTTCTAAATTGGCACAAATTGATGGGTTCCTATCTATATATGGAATTAAAATTAAAATACCTACCAACATAATGATACAGTATTTCTATGGTATTCAACAAAGGATATATAAGTAATGTATAAAATTTATCATTTTCCCATCACAAGAATTTATATTAAAAGTTAAAAGTCACCTAGGCAAGCACTAAAAACGCTAAAAGCGAGCCACAGTTTTCTAATAATTCTAATGATTAACACATACCACATGACTACGAGCCCATATACTGATATATTACCAGAGTTACACTTCTTTAAAAAAGCCGGTAAAGGTCAATAGGTCTCGAATGACTTTAATTGAATTTCAATATTCAATTAAATCAATCAGAAATAAGATGATGGACAATTGGTTTTAGAAACATCTTTCATGCAATGGCAATGAAACCTGAAACATGTTATCTTTTTTCTCTCGTTTACAAAAACCTATGCTCGTCAAAACGAGTAATCCTGCAATAGATTCTTTCATATTGCTTCAGGGTCGGGAAATAAATATGCTGAAGTGAACTTTATAACTTTGATATCCGAACTGGAAAACTCGAGTTTTTTTTTTTTTTTTAAATTTAGTTTCATCAAATAGGTGTAAAACTATTTTGATCTGATGCTTTGACTTCTTGATTATTGTTCCATCATTGACTAGGTACCAGATATTGAATTTCTAGATAGTGTCGCACCATTACTCATTAGTGAGTCTTCTAGCTGCATCAGCTTTTATTGTATGTTCCAAGGTTAGGTGAAAGATTTCTCTACTCATACCGTTACCGAACAAGCTATTTTTGAATTTCTCTGCCGGCACTGCATGTGTTTCATTCATTAAATATTTATAAATTTGCATACTTGAGTTACCACCGAGATTAATAAGTTGTGGTATAAAGCTCAAATTCGGCCTTTGATCGAGATTTCCAGGTATTCAATGTTGTTTTGTGGACTTCCTTTTCCTTTAAGGAAGTAGTTGTTGATCTGGGAACGTTGATCGTCTTCACTTTTTTGATGATAAATAATTGGTCAGCGTCATGTTCACAAGCAAAATGAAGTTGCGAGGCTTTGATTGACAAAAATCTGGCATTTTCCATAAAAATGATACATTCAATCATGTGCAAGATTTTTCCAAAGGCACATCCACATTAGAGTTTTAGACTAATTTGCGTAATCTCTTCACTGAAAAAACCTTTCGGAAATGGAACAGCTTAATATGCTAATTAACATATTAATGATACAATATAGGTACATACCCGATTATTATTCTGCAATACCTGACACTAAATTACAGGTGAAACCTTATCAGTCCTAACACTGATAAGAAATGATAAATTTATCAACCTGTTCGTTTTTAATTCCTAGATTCCGCACTTATTGGTATATTAAATGAGTCAGTGAGTTAAAAAGGAAAACCCAGCATGTAATCAATATTATTTAAAAAAAAATGATTAGGTTAGTTTATTTGGGCGTCGTTTCAAGTTTTTTAGTGTTCAATGTTGCTAGTGGTCAAGAAAGTGAGGCTCAACTCGAAGAGAGACTAGGTAAGCTCACTGAACAAATAGGTAGGTTTACGTTGAACGTATAGATTTAGGTACCTATACCAATAAACAGCTCATTTAAATGGACATGTGTATCAAACAACGTATTTTATATTTTCTATATACTTATATCTATAGTATGAAAGGTTTTTGTTTTATTATCCATATTTCACAGCCATTTAGGTATTACTGTTTCCGACTAAAACTTGCTGAATAATGTTCTAATGTAATGGCTTGCATAATATTTCGATGACTTATAGGAATTCTATTGCCAATGAAACCTTGGGCCGCGATCTTCAAAATCAAAACGAAATTCCAGGCCAAACAAGATTGTAAATATTTACCTATGTAGGTACTTAACTTACATAAAAATGACCTAAATTCAGTTGAAATATGGGTTTTAAAAAAATTACTGATGATACTATTTAATCATGTTGTAAAGTTATAATTTTTTTTTCAGTGTCATATCAAAGATGTCGAATAGATAGCGATTGCAGAGAAAACTCATTTTGTTTCGATAATGATAATAACAGAATCGGACTTTGCAAATGTCAAGCTGGCTATGAATTACTACTTAGAAATAGGACCTATTATACTTGTTTAAAATGTGAGTACATAAATTACTAGACGTGTATGAAATATTTTGAAATTTATGATGATACGTTTTTGCACAAATCTTGATCGTGCTTGAATTTTGGTTTTTGTTAATGTAATATGTACGAGAGAGCAGTTGGAATGGCAATTCTAGATCTGTTTCTGTCCTAATTTAAGTATATCGCATTGAATGAAAAATAAAAATGCTCCTCGCCTATGATAATTTTATCTGTCTTCATATTTTCAGTTAAGTTCAATAGGAAGTCCACATTTTCTTTCAGAAAATGATCCTGGCTTAACACTCCAAAAGTCGTTCTTTTCCGCGTGCCAAATTTGATATGTTTTGTCATCATCATAGACTAGTCCGACAAATATCATTTTAAAGTCACGTGATATTGGTGGCAAAAAACGTATGTTCATTAATTATGACTAAGAGAAATATAATTGTACGATCAAACGAACTTGTGAAGTTCGATCGTAATTATATGAGGCGCTTCATTCGAATAGATTACTTCACTATGTAGTACCGCTTTGGGGTGCTAGATGGCGCCATAGTTTAAATTACTAAAAATTTTGCTCTACCGGCACAGCAGGTGGACTTACCACCAACCTTGTCAACCTGACATTATCACTTCGTTCAAAGAAGCGGGAAAAACAAAACACAAAGGGAGGGTTTCAACGGTTTCAACACCACACTTAACGCCAACAATTTGCCGCGTTTTAATGGGTGGGACCGTAATCTATTCGAATGAAGCGCCTCATATAATTACGATCGAACTTCACAAGTTCGTTTGATCGTACAATTATATTTCGGCGCTTCATTCTTCATAGATTACTTCACTATGTAGTTGTTTAAAGTTTTTTGTTTTTCACAAGAAATCCCTAAAGAATTGCAAATTTACCAAATGCGAAAATAAGAACAATATATTCTCCATTTTTACAAAACATTAAATACCAGTTAAAAAGTCTTTGTTCCAGCTTTCAAAATGTCCAAAGCAAATTCGTTATTAGAATTAACAAGATCTTTTTTATAAAACTTGAAAAATGTTTCCGATCTTTCAGTCCAACCTGCAGTCGATCTGATAACATTCAAAGACACACCATTTCTGTAGGCACAAGATGTTGCTGCATGTCTAATAGAGTATGCATTAAACATGTTAGTGTTTATTCCTGCTGCAGAAAGAGATTCTTTTATCCATCGACTTAAGGTCTGACTGGAAGCTCGACTGTGTGGAGGACGGAAAGACAAAAACAGGTACTCCTCGTCAGGCTGTCGAAGCGAAATCGTCTCGTCCATGTACGCTCCCAGAGTGTGTGCTACACATATGGCTGGATTTTCATTGAAATAAGGGAACTGAAGAACAGGCTGCGTTCTACCTGGCCCTGAAGTTTTAATATTGTCTGTGATGAAGATTTTAACCTCACCATTAACAGAAAACACAATATTTTTGATTTTGATTAACGAAAGAGTTTGGAATATATGAGCCGTTACTAAGGACAATAACGTGAATAACTTTTTTGATAACATTTCCAAAGATAAAACTTGATTGTTGCCACCAAAATCTTCAAAATATTTCAAAATTTGTTGAGGATCCCAAGTAATGTTAAATTTAGGCTTTGGTGGTCTTAATTTGGATATGCCTCTCATAAATCGGCTAATATAATTATCTTTTCCCAATTCCCCAGGTAGAATTAGAGACAGGGCAGATCTTATGTTATTAAAAGAGCCATATTTGAAACAATTATTGTCCAACAATTCCTGTAAAAATTTTAAAACCTGAGATACAGAAGCTCCAAAAACATCTAAATTGGATCTGTGACAATATTCCCACCACCTTTTATATGCAGTATTGTATTGACTTAAAGTTGAATCTGTGAGGGATCTCAGGATTGTTGGTATACTTTTATCGGGCAGGCCCTTCACTCTGAACGCTCGCCTGATAACCTCCCTGCAACCAGGATAAGGTTCTGCATTGGAAACTTCTTCCTGAAAGGAGAAGACAAAAGATGACTGTTCGGGCCCAAATGTACAGTTTCGCTTATTAACATCTTTTGGAAAAGGGTGTACCAAGCTTGTGAAGGCCATAAAGGGACAACCACTATTCCGCATGCTTTATCGGTTATGATTTTCTTCAAAACCCTAAGAATTAAAGAAAATGGCGGAAAAGCATAAAAATTCAAGTTTTGCCAAGAAATCGTAAAGGCATCCACAGAGACCGCATAGGGATCTTTATTTAACGAAACATATGTAGCACATTTCTTATTTGTATTTGTAGCAAACAAATCTATATTAGGTGTTCCCAGATAATTTCTAATTTGATCGAAGAAACTGGAATGCAGTTCCCATTCTGTTTCCATAGAAACAATACGAGAACTATCATCTGCTATATTATCAGCCGAAGCAACATACGAAGCATGTATCCAAATATCTTTGGCTTCACACCACCTCCAAATTGATTGAGCTAGATCATTTAACCTTTTGTGTCTAACACTTCCCATTCTATTAATATATGTAAGTGCAGTAATATTATCTACCCTTACCAAAATATTGTTTGAATTCAGATCTTTAGCAAAACACCTAAGCCCATAAAAAATTGCTAGGAGTTCTAAGTAATTTATATGCAACTGCTTTTGTTCATGATTCCACCAACCATGGGTTTCCTCCCCCATGCTATACGCCCCCCAACCCGACAGAGAAGCATCTGTATATATTTCAACACAAAAGGAGTCTTCCTTTATTCTCTGCCAGGCATCAGGAAGCTTGTTTATCCACCAATTAAGATCATTTATAATAACAGAATGATTAATTACCATTTTCCTATTGTAATCTTGATTTACTTTGTTAAGAGCAATAATCTTTTCTCTTTCCAAGGTCTTTATATAAAGCAACCCATACTTTACACACGGAAGAGTAGATACCAGTAAACCTATTACATGGGCAAAAAAACTTATTTTGCAAGATTTCATATTGATGAGACTGTTTAATACTTTTACAATTCGTATCTTTTTTTCCACAGGAAGTTCAATGCACATGTCTCTTGAGTTAAAATAAAACCCAATAAATTTGCATTTATGCATAGGAATAAGAGAGGCTTTCTCATAATTAATTAAGAAACCCAAGTACTCTAAAAGATCCACAACCGAGGCAGTGTCTTTCCTACATTTCTCTTCTGTCTCTGATAATATTAAAAAATCATCTAAGTAAACCACAACACAAATACTCTGTCTATGCAAATAGGAAATAACTGGTCTCAAAATCTTAGTGAATACATAAGGTGCACTAGATAAACCAAACGGTAAGCAAGTAAATACATAAATAATGTTGTTGGAAGAAAATCTCAAATACTTTCTACTTGAAGAATGAATAGGAACAAGAAAGTATGCATCTTTAAGATCTATTGACGTCAAAAACCAATTTCTTTGTAAAAGTTTAGCGACTGTTCTCCAATCCTCCATTTTAAAATGTTCATTTTTTACGAAACCATTCAGTCTTTTAAGATTCAGGACGAATCTTTTCTTACCATTAGGTTTATCTATAAGAAAAAAGGATGACAGAAATTGCCCCTTAACTGGCCTACATGGTACTATAGCTCCCTTTTCCAAAAGCTCATTAATACTCTCTACTACAAAAGGATCTTGCTTATCAGCAGATCCAAAGTAATAGGTATTAACACCATGGTCACCATGTTCAGGGAATGTTGTAAAACTTAATTTATATCCCTGCAGCCACTTTAAAATTAAAGGGCTTGGTTCCAATAGGGTCCATCTTTCGGCAAAAAAGAAGAGACGCCCTGCAAGAGTACTTACCTCTATTTCCGACGACTCTGGTACTGAAATTTTCTGTTGGATGGATATTTGCTGCTCTTTGGAGATGAGCCCTGTGGTTTCGTTTCTCTCCTGTAGCGAAACGGGCCCCGGTAGTTTAAAGAACTAGTTTGATTGTTGCCTCTTGAAGTTGTGGGTGTTTTAGCCTTAGAATCTTGGCCCAAACTAAGAGATTTGGTACTTTTTTCCAACTCTTTAGCAGCTTTTAACTTTTCTGTAAAATCTGACCCGAACAACTTGGAATCAACATTCCCAGAAATAAGTACCTGCTTTACAGATTTGTCCACTATTTGAGGCAAAATCAAATACCTACGGTTCATTGAAAGGGTATAAAACAAATCAGCTAATAATTTGCCTGCATCGGTGAGGTTTGGTAACAGAACAGATTTCCCATAATTATTATTGTCCATAATAATTTGGTTAATGGCAATGCCTAAAGCAGTAATAGCACATGCTACCTGGGATTGTGCTAAACCCTGGTATTTATCTCTTTTAACCGAAGTTAAGGATACAATTTGTTGAACCTCCCCATTTATTTCGGGGACAGTCAATGCGTCAAAATTCTGAGGTGTCGGGTATTTTTTTAACAACTCCTCCTTGACTGGTTTGTCCAAACCGTTAGCTAGAATATTAGACCATCTCTTATTAATATCTGGATGGAAATCCGCTCTCTTCGGAGCACTAGCATCTGGGTCATCGCCCAATGAATCTAACAAAGCTAGATCAATATCCTCATTTATTACGAGGATGTCATTACATCTGTCAATTTTGACACTTAATTTAGGAGTCTCTTGCTCCAAAGGTCTTATTGCCGAGTCTCTATCCGGGCTTCGTTCTAAAGACAATTGATCTCTGTTAGAGAATTGAGAATGTGGCGATCTCGATCTAGATTTAGAATGAGAACGCTCTGCCAAGCCTCTATGTCTCTTGCCATCAGCAGAGACAGATCCGCTCCTCACAGCAATTCTGCTTCGCCTTGCAGATCGACTACGATGTCCAACAGGCGACCGAGAACGTCCTTGGGCTTTGGCTACGGCTTCTTCAACAAGCTGTTGTAAACGATTCTCCCAAACAGCTTTGTCAATGCTGACCTTAGTAGATCGAGACCTCGAACGAGATCTTGATCCCGATCTCCTGTGGGAACGTTTACGCTTGTTTCTTCCCATCTTTAAAAGTCTAATAAGATTA